CTCTCACGTTATTCACTTTAGCATCGCTGTTATGCATTTTGTGCCATATTTTGCTAGTTCTATAAAGCGTTTTTATAAATACATGTTGTTCCCGCAGCATATTTTATTTCGCGAACAGGATACAGACCGAGCTTTTGTGGTGTGATTTAAAATTTCGTTCGACGCAGACTGTAAAAAACCTATGCAAGATGCTTAGCGCCTGCTCCTAAATTATTTTTGTGGAATTATTCTCGAAATCTCCGCTGAATGTTAGACAAACCAGTGATCCACGAAACGTTGCGCGCTGTTTTTCCTTCTGTGTAAGACTTTAGAACACGACTGAAATCGTAATTCAGGATTGCTGAGACCTCCGGAGCCTACTTCATTTTTGTTCCAAGCCATGAGAACAAAAATGAGATTCCAATCTCAGAACCGAAGATTCCGATAAATCAGTGCCGGCAAGTTTTAGCATGCCCAAAGTTACATCCCAGTAACGTCAGCCACAAGCATCAATCTCTAAACTGGCTCTTTCAGCAATCTCAAACATGAAACATCAATTATTTTGCCAAAATCCAACTGCTAAAAATATGGTAAGTTCTTAGTGAGTTACACGCTCGAACAAATAATCCAGAGACTGGAGAAACTTCCCGTTTTGAGGACGAGTTATGAACTCTACAAGTAATGAGTTTTGGAAATCACCCTTCAGTATGAGCTCTAAGGAATCTTCGGTTGAGCAGCCATCTGTTTTCTGATGCTGTTCCATTCAGACCAATTTCAGGAGTGAACCTGCTGTCAACCAAGGCGGTCGCAGCTGGAGCAGCAGCACCAGATGCAGGAGGAAAACAGGGAACTGAAACTGCTCTAACTTGAAAGCGATAGCCTACTGGCACATGTTGACTACTGATTTTTGCTGAATAAATTGATCTAAAAATGTCCTTCGCATAAATACGCCCTCTTTGTAAGCATTTATATTTTAACTTCTCTTAAATGTTTAACCCAGAACTGGCGTAATGAAGAGGCCCAGTTGGGGTGCTCAATTGGAATGTACCTAGGAGATTCCAAATGTCGCAGTGAGTTTAACGCCATTTTATGCTAGTAGTGATTTCGCGCAATTCTTGGCTTTTTGTTTTCCACCCCAACAATATCAGTTCTACGTGCTGTGTTTGGAGGTATAATTTAGCAAAAGTAATTGAAACTAATAACAGCAGTGATTCCCGGCATCAGTAGCTCGATATTCAATTTCTGCTTTTTATAACAATTCAAAGGTGCTCACCTTGAAAAATTGATCACAGTAAATGTGTAAAATCTCTGAGGAATTCCTGTACAATCTATTGCATTTCCTACTTTTAGCAGCCACTGCAAAGAACCATAATAAGACGGCAAAGAACAATGTCTTACCGCCCCGATGATTTGATAGTGTTGCATCAGTGGGACTCAGGAATTCGAAACAACACCTAGTCAGGAGAAGGGTATCGAAGAAAATAGAATCTTACCACTTGTGAAAGTTGAAAAGCGAGTGTTGGTTGTGATGGAAACACCACGGAACGAAGAATGTTTGATGTCTCACTGCGCAACCATATAAACAATCAGAATTTCTGTCAACTGAGCGGCGCTTACGACTTCACTGCAGCTGTACGTGCAAATAAAACACGATCGATGGGCCTGCCTTGCTGACAGCCGCTAAATATCGCGCGAAATGAATAATATTGATTTTTTTTTTCTCGGAACGAAATGACCATTCGGCGACTCTTAAACTAGTGGTGCAGTATCCACACGGCGGACACTTACTGGACGTATAAAGTCAAGAATCGGAGAACCTGCTCAGGTTGGGAGCATCCTTCGACATCACTAAAATGGAT